ATATTCGGAGATGTAGATCTCGACGAACTGATTCAAAAAACACAGTGTTAATGTGTCCAGATCAAGATTTTGGAAAACTTCGATTTGGAAATAATTTTTTTAGACCTCCACGAGGTGATCTAAAAAAAATAATTTGACACGGGTCGCACACCAAGATTTTCGAAAAATTCGGTTTGAAAATGACGGAAACTTGACAAAAGGTCAAAAAATGCATATAGGTAGTAGCTTTAAAAAAATTGAGATTTGTGAAAAAATCTGAAATATATTATTGGCTTCAAAAAAAGAAAAAAAAAACGGAATAGGAATAATCAGGAAATTTTTTAAAACCTGCCAAAAAATTCTGGCATATAGATCACGACGAGCTGATTCGAAACGCTAAAGTGTTAATAGTCCCATATCAAGATTTTCGGAAAATCCTGTTTGAAAATGAAAATTTTTTAAAAGGTGACAAGAAAACGACCAAACAATTCTGGGATATAAATCTCCACGGGCTGAAGTAAAAATAGAAATTGTTAATGGTTCAAAGTACTTCAAATTTTCAAAAATTTTAATAATTTTGAGAACTATGAGAACTTTAAGAACTTTGAGAATTTTAAGATACCTGAGCACTTCTGGAGTTTGTAGCATTTTAAGAACTTCGAGAATTTTGACGTTTCAAAATTTCAGAAATGTTAAAAATTTCAAAAACCTCAAGATCTCTGTGATTTGAGAACGCCGGGAAATTCGGGAACTTCGATAATTTCCAAAATTTCTAGAACTTTGATATTTTAAGGCTTTTAATAATAATAATTACATAAATTTCGGAAAGTCTTGGTGCTTTATTTAAAAAAAAAAAATTGAAAAATCTCGGGAATCGTCGGTGTTTTATTTTTCAAAAAATCTAAAAGAATCTCGAAAACCTCTGGTCTTTCATTTTAAAAATAATTGAAAGGATCACAAAGTTCCCTAGTGTTTTATTTTAGTTGAAAGAATATTGGAGGCTTCTGGTGCTTTATTTTTGAAAAAATTTCAGAAACTCGTTTTATTTTTGAAAAAAATCTAATAGAATCTCGGAGGCCTCTGGTTTTTCATGTTTGAAAATAATAGAAAGAATGCCGAGGTTCTCTGGTGTTTTATATTGGAAAAAATTTGAAAAAACCCGGGGTTTCTGGTGTTTTGTGTTTGGAAAAATTTAATTTGGAGAACTTCGAGAACTTTCAGAACTTTAAGAACCTTAAAAAAAGTTTAAGAACTTTAAAAACTGAGAACTTGGAAAACTTCGATGACTTGGTGAGGTTCGAGGATGTTCACAACTTTGAGAATTTTGTCAACTTTAATTATTATTTCAAAAAGTTCAAAAACTGTTACGGACTGTTTTGAAAAGTGCTAAATCTGGGAACTTCAACAACTTTGAGAATTTTAAGATATTTGAGAACTTCAAAACTTTAAAAACTGTAAAAACCGCGAAATCTTTGAATACTTCGAGAGTTTAGAGCATTTTGAGAACTTTGATCGTTTCTGGTGTTTTATTTTTGAAAAAATCTAAAAGAATCTCGGAGGCGTCTCGTTTTGCATGTTTGAAAATAATAGAAAGAATCCCGAGGTTCCTTGGTGTTTTATTTTCGAAAAAATTTGAAAAAACTCTGGGGCTTCTGATGTTTTGTTTTTGAATAAATTGAATCTCAAAAACTTTGAGAACCTTAAAAAAAATGTTAAAGAACTTTAAAGACTAGGAAAGAAGAATTTCGATAACTCCGTGGATGTAGAGGATTTTGAGAACTTTGATTATTTCAAAAAATTCAAAAACTGTAAGGACTTTGACAACTTTGAGAATCCTAAAAAATAAGATAATTTAACAAATGACGTATCCTCTAAGAAATTTAATTAAGACACTAGAGACTTCAAAGCACTTTCAAATTCTTTCCGAACAGGAATACCCAGGACCTCAAGTTTGTTTTAATTTTTTCATGTCGTCTGCCAAAATCAGTTATATCTAAGCAGATACTAGCCCCGCCCACCCACCCTTACTTTTCTTAGAAGGTGTTTCATCTGCCAAAATCAGTCTTATCTTGACAGATACTAGCCCCGCCCACCCACCCTCTCTTTTCTTAGAGGGTATGTCATTTGGCAAAATCAGTTTTATCTTAGCAAGTTCTGATGACTAACTTTTACAATTAAAAATAAAGTTTAAGAACTTTAAAATCCGTCTAAACTTGGAGAACTTCGATAACTTCGTGAGTTTAGAGGATCTTAAGAACTTTGAGAATTTTAACATCATTAAGGACTTTAAGAACTTTGAAAATTTTGAAGACTGAGAAATTTAAGAATTTCAAGGTCTTTGAGAACTTTAAGCTTTTTCAGAACTTCAAATCTTCATAAATTTTAATAATTTTGAGAACTATAAGAACTTTTAAGAACTTTGAGAATTTTAAGATAGCTGAGACCTTCAAAACTTTAAAAACTGTAACAACTTTGATAATTGTAAAACCGCGGGACCTTTGAGAACTTCGAGTTTACAGCATTTTGAGAACTTTTGAGAATGTTGACGTTTCAAAAATTTCAGAAATGTTAAAAATTTCAAAAACTACAAGATCTTTATGTGATTTGAGAACGTCGGGAATTTCGAGAACTTCGATAATTTCTAAAATTTCTAGAACTTTGATATTCTAAGGTTTTTAATAATAATAATAATTAAATATATTTCGGGAAGTCTTGGGGCTTTATTTCTAAAAAGATCTGAAAAAAGCTCGGGAATCGTCGATGTTTTATTTTTCAAAAAATCTGAAAGAATTGAAAGGACCACGGAGTTCCCGAGTGTTTTATTTTAGTCGAAAGAATCTTGAAGGCTTTTGCTGCTTTATTTTTGAAAAAATTTCGGAAACTGTCGCTTTATTTTTGAAGAAAATGTAAGTGAATCTCAGAGGCCTCTGGTTTTTCATGTTTGAAAATAATAGAAAGAATACCGAGATTCTGGTGTTTTGTTTTTGGAAAAATTTAATTTCAGGAAGTTCGAGAACTTTGAGAGCTTTCAGAACTTTGAGAACCTTAAAAAAAGTTTAAGACTTTAAAAACTGGATAACTTGATGAGGTTCGAGAATTTTGACAACTTTGATTATTTCAAAAAGTTCAAAAACTGTGTGAACTTCGAGAACTGTTAAGGACTGTCTTGAAAAGTGATAAATCTGGGAACTTCAACAACTTTGAGAATTTTAAGATATTTGAGAACTTCAGAACTTTACGAACTTTGATAACTGTAAAAACCGCGAAACCTTTGAATACTTCGAAAGTTTAGAGCATTTTGAGAATTTTGATCGTTTTAAAAATTTCAGAAATTTTAGGCACTTTGTCAAATTTGGGAATTTCAAAAACGACATTTTTATGAACTTTGAGAACGTCGAACATTTCCAAAATTTGGAGAACTTTGTAATTTTAAGATTTTTAGTAACAGTAATAATTAAATAAATTTCCTAAAGTCCTAGTGCTTTACTTTTGAACACAATTGAAAAAATCTCGGAAATCGTCGGTTATTTTTGAAAAAATCTAAAAGAATTTCGGAGGTCTCTGGTCTTTCATTTTTGAAAAGAATTAATAGAATCCCAAAGTTTCCTAGTGTTTTATTTTATTTGAAAGAATCTTGGGGGCTTCTGGTGTTTTATTTTCGAAAAAATTTGAAATAGTCTCGGAAACTGTTGTTTTATTTTTGAAAAAATCTAAAAGAATTTCGGAGGCCTCTGGTTTTGCATGTTTGAAAATAATAGAAAGAATCCCGAGGTTCCTTGGTGTTTTATTTTCGAAAAAAATTGAATTTCGAAAACTTCGAGAAGTTTGAGAATCATGAAAAAGGTATTAAAGAACTTTAAAAACTGTGAGAACTTGGAGAATTTCGATAACTCCGTGGGTGTCGAGGATTTTGAGAATTTGATTATTTCAAAAAGTTCAAAAACTGTGTGAACTTCATCAACTTTGAGAATTTTAAGATATTTGAGAACTTCAAAACTTTAAAAATTTTAAGAGCTTTGATAACTGTAAAAATCGCGAAACCTTTGCATACTTTGAGAGTTTAGAGCATTTTGAGAGCTTTGATCGTTTTAAAAGTTTCAAAAATGTTAAAAATTTCAAAAACTTTAGGCACTTTGTCAAATTTGGGAATTTCAAAAACGACGAGATCTTTATGAACTTTGTAATTTTAAGATTTTTAGTAATAATAATAATTAAATAAATTTCCCAGAGCCCTAGTGCGTACTTTTGAAGAAAATTGAAAAAATCTCGGAAATCGTCGATGTTTTATTTTTGAAAAAAATCTAAAAGAATCTCGGAGGCCTCTGGTTTTGCATGTTTGAAAATAATCGGAAGAATCCCGAGGTTCCTTGGTGTTTTATTTTCGAAAAAAAATTGAAAAAACTCCGGTGCTTCTGATGTTTTGTTTTTGGATAAATTGAATTTCGAGAACTTTGAGAACCTTAAAAAAGTTGTTAAAGAACTTTAAAAACTGTGAGAACTTGGAGAATTTCGATAACTCCGTGGGTGTCGAGGATTTTGAGAACTTTGATTATTTCAAAAAATTCAAAAACTGTGTGAACCTCAAAAACTGGAAGGACTTTGAGAACTTTGAGAATCCTAAAAAATAAGATAATTTAGCTAATGACGTATCCTCTAAGAAATTTAATTAAATTATTATTCTTTGCTGATTCGTTGTTGACCAGTTAATTTTACTTTATTTTTAATATGAAAGAACCAAAATCAGTGATATCTTAGCAGATACTAACCCCGCCCACCCACCCTCACTTTTCTTAGGTGTTTCATGTGCCAAAATCAGTCTTATCTTGACAGCTACTAGCCCCGCCCACCCACCCTCTCTTTTCTTAGATGCTATGTCATTTGCCAAAATCAGTTTTATCTTGGCAAGTTCTGATGACTACTGGTTGTTATGGTTATTGTCCTAAAAAAATAGAAGCAGGATTTCACTCAGTAATAGACTTTTTTGTAAAAACCCTCAAAAAAATAACGCCGTTTTCCCCCAGACGACGGCCAGCCTGGTGCGACCGAATCCTCTACAGGGTAAACCCCCACAACTACGAGAACGTGACGCTCAAAGTCGACCAACTTTCCTACAAGCACCACCCTTGCTATCAGCTCAGCGACCACAAACCCGTGACTGCCGAGTTCAACATTAAGGTGCGTATCCGCCCAGTCACTAATACCAAACGGCAACATAGTCATTCTAACCACTGCCGCCATCTCGCTTCCGCTAAACTGGGTAGGGTAACCGAGCTTTGCGCAACCCATTCCCAAGTAGCCAGATGAACTTAAAGTGGCCATGTTGTTATTTATCAGATCCCAGCTAAACATTTGAGGCTTTCAACCGGTATGTCCGTTGACCAGGTTGATCAGGTCTTTTCAGATTATTCTGAACGGATCGTTGAGTTCGATAAGATCGTGAGCTGGTCGCAGGACGAAGAGAACACGGCCAAGTACAGAATCACGCAGGGGATTCCCGCCACCAAGGACGACTGGATCGGGCTGTTCAAAGTAAGCGGTTCGTCGGGTGTGTCTTGAAGTACTAAGAGTCGGTTTTCAGGAAAACTTCAGCAGCTTGGACGACTACATCACGTACGAGTACGTGAGCAAGTGCTCGACGCCTACTCCGGAGGGGAAAAGCCCTATGAAGGGGGCGTCCTCGAAGAACGAGCAGAAATACGAAATTACGTTTTCGGAATTGCCCAATCGCTGCAAGGGGAATTATTGTCTGGTGTATTTCAGCCAATCAGAAGACAAGGTCATCAGTGTGCTGGGGATTAGTAATGCGTTCCCAGTGATTAAGGAGGACAGTGACTAGATAGAAGAATTCCGCCCTTTTACTTGTTATTTTGTTGTATGTTGAGTTTTATTTTTTTAATGCTTTGGATTTTTTATTAAGTGATTGTGCCTTGCATAACCCTGTAGGATTTTCTAGTGGATATTACTTTGATAGTAGGGGCAGTATCCGTTTTTTTCCTTCCATGTTTAAAATAGCGTCCACTGTTGTGGTAACAGTGTCATTTGTGGAAACTAGTCAGTTTTATTCTCACTTCATTCACTAAAACCAGTATTTACAGTGTCTTGTCCTTTATGATACGTATTTTCGATTTTATTTTTGTTAAATTCGGACCATTCTGGCCACTTTCTAGTTTGTGTTCACGCCTACCTCTAAATCTACTTTCGACAATTGAGAGAATTACGAGAAATGTGATTATATTTACACTTGTTGAATATTCTACATGTATGTTCTAGATTAGATTACAATGTAGCCTTTAGTTGTAGTCATATTTAATAGGTTAACACCAATAGAACAACTAGATGACGAAGGTTGCGCGGTTTTCGGGAAGTAGTTGTCCTAAATTAACGTCACTACTCACTACATTCGAGCTAACGTGTATCCAGCGCCAACTACTTATTCATATTCGGACTTTCTCACTTTCTTGGTACAAACGAACTTGTTTAGTCGTCACACGTGTAGCTCTCTCTTTAGGCAGTACAAAGGCGAGGTTGCACCACGACGTTTTAATGGCGCCATTTCGAAATCGCGGCGTCGTGGTGATGGTCAGACGTGTCAGCAATTTTTATTTAATTTTACATGATTTCCTGTGATAATTTTGTATACACGGACCATTTGTTGACACACCTGCACACAAAAAGTAAAGTCTGAATTCAAATGCTTGTGTATGTTTATAGGTAAATGTTATGCAGATTGTTGTTTACTTCAGATGTTTACAATTAAGGCTTTTAAGGGAAAAATAAACTATATTCTCCTAGTGGCGTTTTTTTTTTTGGAACGTACTGATCGCACGTGTGTGATTTTCGATCGATTTGGTGACCTTGGAAGTAATCTGTGTCTGAAGCATTAAAGGGTAAAGTTAGGAAAATATGTATCCCAATTTTTAGTCCCTGGTTTTGTTTATTTTTCAGATAATTTAAATAAAATACGTAATTACTGTGTAATTTTTTTATTTAAAATATTTATGTTAAAATGATTTATCATCGCATGTTTGATATTGCGGTTGCTTAAACATTCCACAAATAATAATAGGTATTATCACGTCACTGATTTATTTATCGTGTACTGACACCGTTATGTTTAAATAATATATCGATGTAGTGTTTTTGGCAAGCGAAATTTAAATGCTGGTCGCCTTTTTTTTGCTTGTGAATGAAGGCAACCAAACATTCTTTTCTTTAGTGGGGGTTTAATTTATGACATTATAAAATAGCCTTCATAAAAGATAAAAAGAAAGTAAAAAAAAAATTCTAACCTTTAGACTTCTGCTAGAACACATAAATTTTTTGTGTACACAAAGCGTCGCCTGAAAACTTGTTTGATCTATAGACCAGAGGGCGCTCAGGCCAATGTCGACTCTAAGCGTTCAGAAGCGGTTTGGTTCGTTTGGACTGCGGGAAATAGTTGTTTGGTCGGATTTTATAACGAATAAGTGAACATTCTTGGTACATATTTAGATGGTTTTATTTACAAATATAATATCACATGTCACATGTTTCACTCGATTTTGAAATGCAACTATTTTTTTGTTCAAGTAAGAAGAAGAAATGTACTTATTTTTATGTTTTCGAAATATTGTGTTCTACTTTGTATGAAATTTTAAATATATTTAGTGACAATTGTGGTTATTTTCGATACATTTTATGAAAAAAAAAAAATGAAAAATTAAAATAATCGAAAACCTGAAAAATCGAGAAATCTAACAATCGAAAAACCAGGGGGTCGATTCTCGAACTCGTTCGAATAAGTTCCGCATACGCAAGTGACCAACTTTCGAGCGGTTTTGAAGATTCGGTATTCTCGAACCGCGCGCACACGTTGGTATACGCAAATGTTCGAGCGTATACGAACGTCAAGTTACGAGTGGGTAGATGCGATCGCATTTTGGTTTGCGAGTGGTGAAAGCTAACCTAAAACTCAGTTTGGTTTTGGTCGTTCTGTGTTAACGTCAATATAATATCTTTAATCTGCTGTATCTGTTAATATGCATTAACAGAAAGGGTTACCGTTCAATAAATACACAAATTGTATGTATCAAATTGATTGTGTAAATTTTATAATTTCATTTGTAATTTTCAGATTTGTGATGCAAATTTAAAAATTTTAAATTTTTACAGCAGATTTCTGTATAGTACATACAATAGCTAGACATGAACAAACAGCGCACTATTGCCATATTCTGGGTAATTTCTAATAATACATTAACACGTTATTATTATGGTTGTAACAATAATTTTTAGGTGAGTCTAGCTACCCTCTGCGAACATTTCAAACATACGTTCAGCTGTTTCAAAAATAAAAACTAAAATGAATTCTGGAACATCACTTACTGTACAAAAAGAATGTAATGGTATGCATACGTGTACCTGAATGAACATTGTGTAACCAAACTCTAAGAATTTTCTATAAACTTGGGTGGTACACGCAGTAATAAAAGTATTAATATACAAGTACCTGCTATCTTCGGTGGTCCCACTCACAACTAAAACAGTTAGTTTGTATCTACATCATTTTAAAAAAACCACGAGTATGTGTATTTAATACGTAGGGTTGCAAAAAATTGTAAAATCAACTTTTTTTTTTATTTCGATTTTTTTTGTCTTTTTTTAGTTTTTCAATTATTAGGAATTAAAACCCTAATAAAAGTAGCAAGAAAAAATCACGAGTTATTACGAGTATTTTAAAACATTCACAAGTAGGTATGCGAGTAATTATTAATGTCATGTTTGGGTCGTATTAATTAGTTTTGAACAATAAAGAGAATTTATTGTTATTTACATTGCAAAGAATTAATTCATAGTGCTATTTTATTATGTTTATCTGTAAAATACAAATTAAAAGAATTATCGTTTCATTTTGTTGGAAATATTGTATTCTAGTTAGTGTTCAACTTATTTTGATTTAAATTTGCATTAAAAGGGGCGTAATATACATGACATATTGGCAAACTGTCAAGAAAACTTAAAAAAAAAAACAATATTACTTTAAGGCAATAATTTAAATCAAGCCGACCCTGCTAATACGTGTTTTGCTGCTTAATAAATTTGGACGCAACAGATTAAAACAGTCCTTCTTGGATTCAAACCGACACAGCGTGAGTTCTGCCAACCATTGCATTTAAATTTCCTCTGTATTTTTCCGCTGTTGCCATATCGCCACTCGAACAGCGGCCTTCGTATGCGCATCGAGTTGCTATTCGCATTGAATCTCGTTCAAGAAGACGGATTTTCGTTTCGAATAGCATCTTGGCATGCGCATCTGTTCGTACTCGCATCTTTGCGAACGAGTTCGAGAATCGACCCCCAGGATATTAAGAAATCGAAACATGAAAAAAATCGTAAAATTATTAAATAGAAATATCGAAGAATTGAAAATCGAAACATCAAAAAAATTAACAAATCTAAAATGTAAAAACCGAAAAACGAAAAATGAAAGGTCGAAAAATTTAAATAGTCAGAAATCGAAACATCAAAAGATCGAGAAATCGAAAAGTCATGAAGTCGAAAAATTGAGAAACCGAAATAGGCCAAAATCGAAAAAACGAAAACCTAAAAGTTGAAAAATTGGAAAATCGAAAAATCTAAAAGCGGAAAAATAAAAAAACATAATTTGAAAAACACAAAATCTAAAACTTGGAAGTCGAAGAATCTAAAGATTAAGAAACCGAGATATTTTAAAAATTCGAAAACATCAAAAATTGAAATATCGAAGAACTGAAATTAAAAATCGAAAAATCCAAAATTTTAACAATTGAAAAATCTGAAATTTAAAAACCGAAAAAGTAAAAAAATCGACACATTGAAAAATGCAGAAGTCAAAAATCGAAAAGTCTAAGAATCGAAAGGTTGAAAAATACCAAAACTGAAATATCCAAAAATTAAGAATCTAAAAAATTGAAAAATTGAGAAATCGAAAAATCAAAAAAGTGAAGTCAAATATCGAAACCTTGAAAAAATCGAAAAATTAAAAAATAAAAAACCTGAAAAATCGAAAAATTGAAGATTGAAGAACTTGAAAATCGAAACACTCGGAAGTTAAGAAATCGGACAATCAAAACATCGATTAATTGAAAATACGAAATATTTAGAAATTGTAAATTCGAAGAGGAAAATAACTGAAAAAACGTAAAAGTGAAACATCGGAAAATTGGAAAATCGAAAAATTGAAAAATTGAGAAATTGTAAAATAAAAAAATTGAATAATAAATAAATCTGAAAAATTCCAAAAGTGAGAAATTAAAAAATTGAAAAACTGAGAAATCTAAAAGTCAAAAAAGTAAAGTCGAAAAATCAAAACCTTAAAAAATTGAAAAATGAAAAACTTAAAAAACCGAAAAATTGAAGAATCGAAGAACTGAAATATCGAAAAACTGAGAGTTTATAAAACTAAAATTTGAAAAATTGAAAACTGGAAATATTTAAAAATTGTAAAATTGAAACGTCGAAAAATTGAAAAATGAAATAAAACCTGAAAAATCCCTGAAATATCCAAAAACTGAGAAATCGAAAAATCAAAAAAGTGAATTCGAAAAATCCCGAAGTCAAAAATCGAAAAGTCGAAGAATCGAAATATTGAAAAAATGAAAAATTAAAAAATCAAAAACCTGAAAAATCGAAAAATTGAAGAATCGAACAACTGGAAAATCGAAACAGTCGAAAGTCAAGAAATGGGAAAATCAAAACACCGATTAATTGAAAAATCGAAAAATTGAGGATTTAGAAAAGTCAAAAATTGAAAAAATGAAAAATCGAAAAACTGAAAGTTCATAAAAGTCAAATTTGAAAAATTGAAAACTCGAAATATTTAAAAATCGCAAAATTGAAGAGGAGAAAAATTGGAAAAACGTAAAATTGAGACGTCGAAAAATCGAGAAATCGAAAAATTGAATAATAAATAAACTGAAGAATTCCAAAACTGAAACATCCAAAAACTCAGAAATTAAAAAACTGGAAAATTAAGAAATCGAAAAATCAAAAACCGGAAAATCAAAAAACCGAAAGGTATAAAATCGAAAAATCAAAAGATCGAGAAGTCGGAAAAATCGAAAAATTGAGAAACCGAAATAGGCCAAAATCGAAAAATTGAAAAGTTAAAAATTGATAAATCGAGAAATTGAACAATCGAAACATTGAAACATCCAAATTTCGATAAATCGAGAAAACAAAACATTTAAAACTTCCAAAAATTGAAATATTGAGAAATCAAAAGATTAAAAGATCGAGAAATCGAAAAGTCATTAAGTCGAAAAATTGAAAAACCGAGATAAGCCAAAATGGAAAAAACGAAAAGTTAAAAGTTGAAAAATTGGGAGATCGAAAACTCCAAGAGCGGAAAAATAAAAAAACTAAAAACGGAAATATGGAAAGACTGAGAAACTGAATAGGCCAAAATAAAAATCGAAAAGTTAGAAATCTGCTAAATCGAGAAACTGAATAATCAAAATATCGAAACATCCAAATCTCGATAAAACGAAAAATCAAAACATTGAAAAATAGAAAAAAAATAAAAAATGAAAAATGAAAACATCGAAAATTTGAAAAAACAGAAAATCTAAAATTGGGAAGTCAAAAAATCGAAAGATTAAGAAATCGAAATATTTGAAAAATTCAAAAACATGAAAAATTGAAATATCCAAGAACTGAAATGAAAAATCGAGAAATCGAAAAATCTAAAATTTTAAAAATTGAAAAATCGAAATACATAAAAAAAAATCCCAAAGCTGAAAAGGGAAAGAAAAACTGAAGAATGGAAAAACTGAAATATCCAAAAACTGAGAATCTAATAAATTGAAAAATTGAGAAATCGAAAAATCAAAGTGAAGTCGAAAAATTGAAACCTTGAAAAACGAAAAATTAAAAAATCGAAAACCTGAAAAATCTAGAAATCTAAAAATCGAAAAACCAAGATATCAAGAAATCGAAACAAAAAAAAAATCATAAAACCGAAAAATTTAAAGATAGAAATATTGAAACATCAAAAAATCGAAAAATCAAAAATCTAAAATTTAAAACCGAAAAATGAAAAATCGAGAAATCGAAACTCCAATATTTAAAAAATTGAAAAAATTGAAAATTTCGATAATTGAAAAAACGAACCATCGAAAAACTGGAAAATCGAAAAACCGAAAATCCGAAAAGTAAAGAATCGAAAAACCGAGAAATCAAAAAATCAAAAAATTTAAAAATTCGAAAAATTGAGAAACCGAAATAGGCCAAAATCGAAAAAGCTAAAAGCGAAAATATTGAAAAATCCCAAAACTGTAGTATCCAAAGACTGAGAATCTAAAAAACTGAAAAACTGAGAAGTCGAAAAATCAAAAAAGTGAAGTCGAAAAATCGAAACCTTGAAAAAATCAAACACCTGAAAAATCGAAAAATTGAAGAATTGAATTGGAAAATTGAAACAGTCGAGAGTCAAGAAATGGGAAAATCAAAAAATTAAGAATTTAGAAAAGTCAAAAATTGAAAAATCGAAATATGTATTTAAAAATTGTAAAATTGAAGAGGAGAAAAATTGAAGAAAGTAAAACTGAAACATGGAAAAATTGAGAAATCGAAAAATTGAGAAACTGAGAAATTGAAAAATCGAAAAATTGAATAATAAATAATCCGAAAAATCCCAAAACTAAAAGTGCGAAAAATTAAAAAATGAAAGAAAAACTGCAGAAAGGAAAAACTGAAATGTGTATCCAAAAATGACGAATAAAAACATTGAAAAACTGAGAAATCAAGAAGTCAAAAAAGTGAAGTCGAAACATCAAAACCTTAAAAAACTGAAAAATTGAAAAATCAAAAATTTAAAAAACTGAAAAATCCAAGAATTGAAGAAATGAAAAATCGAAAAATTGAGATTTTTTCAAACTCAAATTTGAAAAATTGAAAACTTGAAATACATATTTAAAAACCGTAAAATTGAAGAGGAGAAAAATTGGAAAAACGTAAAATTGAGAAATCGTAAAATTGAAAATCCAAAATCGTGAAATTGAGAAATTGTAACATCGAAAAATTGAGTAATAAATAAACTGAAAAATTTCAAAATTGAAATTTCGAAAAATTGAAAAATGAAAGAAAAACTGAAATATCCAAATACTGAGAAATTAAAAAACTGAAGTCTAAAACCTTAACCTTAACCTGTGAACCTTAAAAAAATAGAAAAATTGAATAACCAAAAACCTGAAAAATCGAAAAATTGAAAAACTGAAAAATCGAAACAGTGGAAAGTCATGAAATGGGAAAATCAAAACATCGTAAATCATAAAATCTAAAAATTGAGAGTTTATAATTAATCGATTAATTGAAAAATCAAAATATTTAAAAATCGTAAAATTGAAGAGGAGAAAATTGAAAGAACGTAAATCTAAAACATTGGAAAATTGAGAAATTGGAAAATTCAAAAATTGAATAATAAATAAACTGAAAAATCCAAAAACTACATTTTCAAACAATTGAGAATTCGAAAGTTGAAAAAGCAAGAAATCGAAAAGCCGAAAAATCGTTAAGATTAGGATATATCAGATCACGGAAGATGGCTTATAGATCAAATCGTTTCTGAACGCTTAGAGTCCACATTGGCCTGAGTGCGCTGTGGTCTGCAGATCAAACAAGTTCTGAGGCGATGAAAGAAAAACTTTATACATACTAATTTTTAATTAACGGTGCAATTCAAAATTACGCAGGTTTGATAAGTAGATAAAATTTAAAAAACAGTATTCAGAAAAAGTTTTGAAATCACAATATAAATTCTACGCTAAATTTTACATTTACATCACGCGGTTCGTGGTGAAGATGAATAGGAAGATATTTACATGTTTGTGGTTGCATAAAATATCCTCAAATAATAATCTTTTTACGTAAACTGAGGCACGTATAAACAGTGAGTAAATAAAAAATGCAAATACTTGAGGGGTTATGAATCCGTCTTGATTTTTTACCCTAGATGTCTACTGTTTAAAAAATTTTCAAACTCACCATCCACTTTAGAAATCATGCATTTAGGCGAAATAAAACAACCACAACTTCAAGAATATTATTTTATTAAAACTTCTAACAATACTGACATTTATTTGTAGTATTCAACATTTTGAAATTTTCGTGTGCCACTCTAATCGTTCTAGACACAATTTTCGGAAAAACATGTTTATTCTTAAAGTCGTTAACAAAAAAAGCTACAACAGTTAATGAAAAAAGACGATATATATCAACATTGTACAAAAATACAAAAAGTTTAAACTAAAGTAATAAACCATTCACACCTAGATATGTACATTCATCACGTAATCTGTCGATATTTAGCAGACTGTACCTTGCAGGTACAAAATTATCACTCTCTTCACGAGACAGTGTGATAATTACAAGTTGACAACTTGCACTCATCAATACTATAAAAAATAATACACATAATAAATAAATTTAAATCACAGTAACAATAGCTATGTACAAGAACAAAAAACAGAGAAAATACACTCAGCTCTTGTTGAATTCCTCAAGGTGTATAAAATCTTCCTCTCCTACGGCGTAGAAAGGCTTCTTTTTTCGTCTTCGAGCTTTGATGGTCTTCACTATTTGAGTTCTTGTTTCCTTATTCACAACGAACAATAATACTACTAAAATACCCTGGCTTGCTTCCACTATATCGATGCCTATTAATATGTTAGAGTTAGCGAAGAATAAGTGAACTATCGTTTCTAACAACCACATCAAAGAAGTTAAAAAAATTATTAGATGCTTTCTCCACCTGAAAAATCAAAAGATGGTTAAAATCAAGCGAAAAGTGGAATTAAAAAAAGAGGGGAAAAGTGATGAAAAACATGCTGTTGTGAAGGGTCTGCTATTATCTTATCAGTTAATTTAGAATATGGGTGTAGGGGTTTGTTCGTATCGGCTGCTACCAATCAATAGATCAATAAATAGCAAGTGAGAGTTCTAGTTCGTTCTACGAGCAGTTCGCTTATTTCGTGCATATTTTAGAAGATAGTTTATTCACCACAAATTGACTTTAGAAGTAAATTAGAAGCGTTGCAGTTATACGTAATTACTAATTATTATTATCAATTGAGAGTCCATTCCAGACACAGTTCTGTTTATTTCTAGATTAAAAAGGGCGCACCATTTGTTTTAGTTCTCTTATCAGCAATAGCACGTCGTTTCAACAGATATAAGCTAATATTTACCCTATTCACTCGCATGACTTATGGTTTAAAGGAGACATTTCGACATTCGCAGCTTGGGGACCTTTTTGTCCTTTGTCCAGATAACTAGAACCGTAATGGTTCATCGTGAAAACTGCCACGATTAAAATGCCTTGTAAAGCCTCGAAAATGATCGCGGCGTGAAAAATGCCACTAGACTCGTCTAAGAAGCTCATTAAGACATTGGAAATCCAAGAAATGGTCATGATGATCAAAGTAAGAAAGCATTGCCTAAACCTGCAACAAACGGGACGTGCAGGAAGACGTGTGTAAAGAGAAGTAAAGCCAAAAGCCTGGAAGCCCGAACGCGAATGTACAGCGCGGTGTTTGCCCAAGCAGGTTTAGTGATGGAGAAGCTGGTGATGGGTTGGAATACTTACATGAATTTGTAGACGGTTCCTTTTTCGATCCAGAAGTAGTCGTTTCTCTTGTCGCGGTCGTATCTGATGGTGATGAGTTTGGTCCAGATGAGGCACACGGCGCTGCCTACCATGGAGAGGCAGATGGGGATGTAGAAGATGATGGTTCTTTGGCTTTCGGCTAGAATGAGAATAAAGTCGTTTTATTAAATTACTACTATACAGACTTTTTAACTCTTATTTTTTAAGGTAGTGTGGTGTATTTAGAAAATTATTATACTTTAGGGTAAAAGATAGTATGTTCACTAGTCACTTGATTTTATAATCTATCTTGTCGTTTTCAAAGTTCCAAATGCCATAAATCAAAATTCACCACCCTCTTAATGCATTTTTTGGAGACGTTGTCTTCCTTGTTTTACTTATCTACTCTTCTCCGTTTATTTATTCTCCGTTTCTTCGTATGTGGGTTTTTCATTTTTTTTTATTTATCTAAATTTATCTATAATTTCGTTTTTCCACTAACTTTGTGTCTTGCTCTTTCTCTCACTGTTTTTCTTTTTTTTTCTGTTTTGCTTTGCTTGATGTTTTCCATTCCTAGTGTTTTCCTGCTTTATTTATCAGCTTTCGTTCATTGCTAATTTTTTTACTGTCTTTTTTTCTCCCTCTTTATCTTCATTCCCTCTTTCAGCACATATTGCTCCTCTTAGACTCTTTGTTTTAGCATCTTTCTACCTGCATTCCATCAATAATCCCTTGTTGTGTTGTTTTTTCCTCTTTTCCTTTTCCACTGCTTTGGTTATAAACTCCTCAAATATTAGAAACCAAAAAAAAAGAACAAAAAGAAAATGTTTCAATTTGAATTTGTTGGCGCATTTCTCTCTTACATCGTCTGCCCTCTTCGTTATTTTTTCTTTCTTTTTGTTAGATCTTCTCGAAGTCTTGCCTTTTTATACTTATGCATATCATTTCTTCCTCTGGATCCCCTTTTTTTATTCTTTGCCATTCCTCTTACTTTTGATTTTGAAGTTGTCACCTTTTTGTCATAGTTTTTTTCGTATACTTTATAGTAATTATTGTTACTTATCTGCTTCTAAATTGCAATCCTATTTGAATATTTCCTATATAAAAGTTTCTTTTTCTTTCATTTCCTCGTTAGTTCAAGCTTGATCTCCATATTTGTGGCTTGACTCTTTTCCCCCTCTGTCTATTCCCTTTTAGCCTCCCTTGTTTTCACTCTTTCAGTTTATGTATTCCTCCGATGTTTCCTGCTTTATAGATTTGTACTTTTTAAATGTTCTAGTTTTCTTGATCCTTTATGTGTTTCTTATTATCTTGCACGTATGTCTCTGTTTATTTATGATTATTTTTAAGTAACATTTTGTTACTATCGCTGTAATGTCCTTAGTCTAGATAATAAAAATTAAAAATTTCAAACAATTTTGTTTCGATTTCCCTCTATCATATTTATGTATTAATTATCCCCTTTCTGTTTTGTGATTTTTTCCAACTTACTCCCTTTTTTAAATCGTCTCATTTTTCTCTTTATTATCCCTATTATTTTCGTTTTTTGTGTCTTTACTATGTTTCTTCTTGTCACTCTACACAACCTGTTAGTTCACCTACGAAAATATGACTGCCCATTTTATTTTCCTTTTTCACTCTCTTAATTCCACTCCCTTTCTCTCCTCTCTCTTTCTGTCTTTCTGTCTTTCTCTTTCTTCTCTCTCTCCCACTCTCCTCTACATCTCTTCTCTATATTTCCCTGCCTTCTTCATTCCTCTCCGTTTCTCTTTCTTATTGTTCTCTTCCTTTCTACACTATATGTCTCACCGTCTCATTTCCCCCTCTCACACCTCTCCCTCTCCTCCCTCACTTCTACCCTCTCTCTTCCGTCTCTCTCACCTGCCTCTGTCTTTCTTCTCTCTATACTTCTTCTCCTCT